CCTCCCGCCTGCCCTGCTGCCATCCAGGCCTGCTATCTGCGACCCAGGGCAGCGGGCGTCCCGTGTGCGACCCGACCCAGGGCGGTAGGGCGGGACAGCATGGCTCCTCTGTCACCCCAGCTTCCTCATCACAGCTCCCTTGGGGGCCTAAGCCTTTAGTCGGACATCCCCCCCCCCCAGGGCTCCCTGGCTGCCAGAAGGATGTCTGACTGCAAGCTTAGGCCTGATCCCCCAGGGAGCGGGCCTAAGTCGACAGGTGGACATCCCCCAAGGGGTCCTGGGCTGCAAATGGGCGCAGGCCAGGCTGAGGGACCCCCTCCAAGTGCACAAATTTTTGTGCACCGGGCCTTTAGTTTAATGTAAAAGAAGTCCGTAAATGGGGGGCGGGGATCCTGTGTTAGATGCTTTGTCTCAGTAGCAATATTTTAAAATATATAGTCACCACCACCTTATCTTACCAGACACACCCTAACTCCAAAAGGGGGCCTGGAAAGTATCTGGGAAACACAAAGGAGGGGTCTGTGGCTCTGGGAGGAAAAATGGTGTCTGAGATAAATTTCTCCAGATAAAGACCAGAACAGAGGTGGTGAGAATTAGGTGGGGAGGATTAAGGGGAATAGAAATCCAACTGGAGGTGGTGAAGAAGAGGCCAAACATGCCTATTCTTTGGAAATCCCTCCATGTTTGAGCTAAAATGGATCACAGAAGTCAGGATGATGCGCTCTGTGGGACTCCCTCCAGAGCCAGGCGTGCTAACCTTTCAGGGAGAGAGGTGGAGAGGACAGAAGCACAAGCAGAGAGGAAGCCATGCAGAATGGGCATTTTCCACCCCCTCAAATCTCCATGAACATCTTTCCACATCAGAGAAGGGGGGGAAGTTAGTTCACATTTGGCTGATGTTTTACAGTTTACCAAGCACTCTCATGCCTTCTTATTCAGTCATTCATGCATTCAGAACAACTTATGGAAGGCCTCTAGGAGCGGGGCCTTGCCAAGACCTAGAATGAAACCCCACGCAAGTCCTATGCCCCAGGACCTCAAGGACCAGGGGGAAATGGGTGCCCTAACCAAATAAACACCAAAAAGGCCACTGTGGCAAGCGCCCTAGGGGGCTGCAATGGCAACAGTGTAATTCCAACATGAGGGAGGGATTTGTTGACTGTGTCTTTATATTTTCATCATTGTTTAAAATGGTCCCAAGGGTGGACTTAGCCAGACAGAACACAATCCACGATTTGACAGCATGTAAAACAGCTTAATAGCCAGCTTGTATATTAACCATTTATACCCACCTGTGATTTGTCCTTTAGAAACAATTTGTTGTATATCAAGGACCTTCAGGTAGAAAATAGGGTGTTAAAAGGGGAAAGGAGAGAGAGAGAGAGAGAGAGAGAGA